GAAACCACTTCAGAAAGTATTTTAGAGTACTTTTCTTGAGAAAAATAAAAACAATTGTCTTCTCGTTTACTCGCAATTAATGCATTTAACTTTTCAAGAAAAAGATCACGATTTACTGCAGTATCCATTCAGTATAAATTACGGTATTGGAAACAAAATTAAGAAAACGTTGCTCGCATTATCGAAGCTTGCATAAGATTGACAAAGCTGACTGACTCCACGCAGAACACAGGATTTGGCGGGAGAGAGCCAGTCGCTTCTTTGTCGGCTCCTCTCTTTTGGACCTCCACCAGAGCATATCTGTGATTGTCGACATACACCGGTGAAGGTCCGAATGTACAAGAATGTAATAAAATATTCGGTCTTTCACCGACGTATTTGGTATATGTCGTCATTCTCCAATTTCGGTCTTTCACGGTAACATATGCACTGTCACACCTATCGCAACTGTCCATGTTTCTTGACCTAACAGCTAAAAGAAAAAAGGGTAACAAATAAACGCAGCCTCCGATAATTGTGGATAATAAGTATTCCGTATTTGTTCAATTTTGAGAGAAACAGAGGTGGTCGTATAAAACGGAGTAGCCACGTGGAGCAGGATCGATCAACAGGTTTTCCTCTACACGTAACGATGCACGCAGACGCGTTTCAGTTTCCCTCGAAGCGCGCACGCCGTGATTCCCCGGCGAATTCTAGAGGATTTCATTTCCACGCGACGAGTGATTGATAGTCGTCGATTATCCGCGCTTAAAATAAGCTCAATTAGCATCACAACGGCTGCGAAGATCACGGAACGCGTTTACACGAATGCAAATATCTTCATAACCGATCGGCTACCGTTTCGTCTGGCACCTCCGGTCGAATTTCGAAAGCGACATCTCGAAAACTTTGCCTCGGGCACCAAAATATTCTGCGAAACGATCTTATCGGTCGGGTGAAAGCGAATAGACGCTGCGTTTGACATCGATAAATCATCGGAGACTTTACGCTAAAACTAACAAAATGAAATTCGATGATTTCGAGTTTTTCCTTGCGAAATCGCAATTGCTTTTTATTCAAATATTAATAAGTACATCCATTTTAATGTTTCTTTATTTTCAATAAGAAAGTTCAAAATAGTCTGTTCCGACTCAGCGTTGTCTTATGACAGAGTCACCCTGCTAAACTGTGTTATCCAACATCATCCATAGTAAATAACTAGTGCACCTTGCAATTAATTTCCTACTTAAATTTTGTACAATTTAAATTTTCCAAAAGAACTGCAGCTATGCAACAAAATCATAACCGAATGCATTTCAGAAATTACCCATTTTAACGAGAGCTCAAGAGTCTCCTTTCACGACGCTATAGCAATGTTGACACACCTGTCGCGTACTAATCGATACTTTAATTACGGTAAAAGTTACATAATCGCTAAGTTGATGCACCGAGGATAGAACGATCCTTTCTGCGACGCCATCGAGTGCGTTTTTCGACGAACGTCAAAGCGAAGGGGAAAAAGAAAATCTGAACGCGTTTCCGTTCCACGTTTACGATGCAGAAGGACGAGTGCGGGCTGCAGCTGGTTGCCGTGTTGGAAACTATGACATAATGCAGCAAGTTTTGACGCCGGGATGTCTACGTGCACATGTCGCGGTCGTGGCTAGTTTTAGACGCAAGCACTGCCAACAAAATAAGCAGCTACGAAGCGTGGATTTCGGGAGAGCCGTGGGAAACGGCCGGGAAACACGAACGGGAACAACCGATTGGCTCGACTTCTTTCGCGTTAGAATTTTGAAGAGTGAGCTTAGTTAATTTTTCGACTGGTAAGAATTTGAAATTCCTCTACTCTTGTAAGATACTCGATGGACAAGTGTCAAGGGGTTAAATAAACGCTACGAGGTTACGAACAGGAGGAATAGGAGTTTCAAAGAGTTTGGCTTTTGACAATGTCAGTTAGCGACACAACTGGCCACGGTATTATTATCCACCCTCCTATTATCCGTTCTCTATTCTGGCTGCAACGGTATATGGGTTAGGGCCAGCTCTACCAACACCGTTTCTCACCCACGCACTCTTTCCCTTCTTCGAAGAGTATTCGAGCAACCAAACGTACGAAGCTAATCAAACTATTGCCAATCAACGAATCCAAGACATTGTCTCTGCTCTTCTTTCTTACTCATCTACTGATTTCTATAAAATACGTCACTTCCCGATTCGAAAAGTGACAAGCTCAGCTTACCTACATTCTCCCATTCGAATTTATGCAGTGTTGACATATTCCCCAGGGATCGCCATATTGAACTTGATACCTACCTGCATTACCTGTTATCTCCTTGCACTATTGTCAGGTGAAAAACTGCGCAATTAAGCTATAATTTTAACCCCTTGCACTATGGCTTATTTGTCAGGTGCGTCAGTCAGAACTGACTAATTAGAGCTACAATATTAATACAGACAAAAAAATGTGAAATGTTATGTCAATATGTTATTATGCAATCGTTGACTATGCAAATTATAATTGGACTTCAAATTGAAGCGTACTAAAAATTCGAGTAAAATTGATCACGGCCGAAGTACGAGTGCGTCTGACTCGTCAAAGTAGTGCAAGGGGTTAAAACAGACAAAAAAGTTAAAATGTCATTTCAATCATTGACTATGCAAATTATTGGACTTGAAATTGAAGCGTATTAAAAATTTGAGTAAAACTGATCACGGACGAGGTACGTCAGACTCGTCAAAATAGTGCAAGGGGTTATTCCACTGTCCTATACAAAAATGAAAGTAACCATGTTCGAATACTATATTTTATTTAACATTCCATCAATCCAATTTTACGAAGAAACAAAGGATTTAGTCACTTCCCTTGTATCGCGCCTCGTTGTAAGTCATCGTTGCGCAGTAAGTTGATTCTTTATCAGGTCCCGAAGACGGACGATGAGGGATGAAGTCGATTCCGGGACACATGAAAACGTGGTCGTGCCAGTAGTTGAAGTATCCTCTGATTAAAAGGTTCTCTATCCTGCTTCGCGCAGTCGTGTTCGCTGTGTGTTCGGACGAAAAGAGAAGTATGCGGCCCAGAGTTAAACGGGGAGACTCGTAGATCGGCATCGCGGTTCACTGCTGCGAGCACGATGTGGGTGTGACCTGGTTTCCGAGAGTTTCACTTTCCTGTAACATCGTTGCACGGAGGAGGTAAGGAGGATTCGACCCCAGAGAGTTACGTCATGCATTGTTATGCCGGCCGTAACGGGTCGTAGACGTACGTGCGGAACTCCGTAGGAATTAAAATAAGCGACTGACTATTTTGCTCGCATAGATCCTCTTCGAGGATCGTTCACGAATTTCGACATTTGGAAATTTGACGATTTGAAATTTCGGGGATAGTTAGGGTTGGTAGGGGGAAATTTAGGGTTGGAAATTTTAGGGTTGGAAAGATGGAATTTAGAAGTTTGAGAAATTGGGAAATTTGGAGGTAAGGAATTTGAGAGTATGTGGTTTCACGAACACACTCATCGCCAGTTTAGGACAGGTTACAAATTTTCATGTCGATATAATTTCTCTTTCTCCACATGGAATTATGACGCGTGGCGGTGCAACGCGAGAAATTACAGGGCGTGGACTTACGGCGCATGGAATTACGGCGCGTAGCAACTACGGCGCATGGCGGTACAACGCGTGGAATTACGGCGCCTGGCGGTGCAACGTGTGGAATTACAATGCGTAGGGATTACGGCGCGTGGCGGTGCAACGCGTGGAATTACGGCGCGTGGCGATGCAACGCATGGAATTACAGCGCGTGGCGGTGCTACGCGTGGAATTACAGCGCATGGAATTACGGCGCGTAGGGATTGCGGCGCGTGGATACCTAGGATAGATACCTAGATAATAGATTATCTAGATACCATAGATAACTCGAGTAAGGCTCGAGTACTAGTGAGAAACTGTAGGTACCTATGCGCCGTCTAGTGGCGATAAGCGTATTAGTGAAACCGCTACATATTCTCAAATTCCTTACCTTCAAATTTTCCAATTTCTCAAACTTCTAAATTCCATCTTTCCAACCCTAAAATTTCCAACCCTAAAAGTTCCTATTCATATATAGTTCCTGTCCCTTCCTTACATCCCCGCGTCTAAGGGCTTACTAGTTCTTACTAGAGCGCAACGCGTTCGCCTGAGTCCAGTAGCAGATCCCGAATGATTCTCCCTCTCCTTTACTTTTCCCAGCCCTTCCTCTAACCGCGAAAAATAATAAAATAAGTTATCGATTGCAAGAGTTTGAGCCGGCGAGCATTAAGAAATTCATAACGCGTGCGATGCGTAATGCACACGGTCGCGTGTGTACGGTCGACGATCGTGCGCGCGTGCGCCCACCTTCGGCACGATGTATGTTCGAGCGTGTGGCGGCATATATAAAAGAGCGTTCTAGCGTGCGACCTATATTCCACGCCTGCATTGCTATATTAGACGCGCGCGACGCATCAGGGACGCGCCTCAAAGCACACGCTTCTTCCCCTCCTCACCTGACGCCAATCAAACTCGAATTCACTGAATAATTCGATTGTGCTCTATTGTCCGCTCACCGAACTTTGTTTCCCCATCGAATGCTAACCGCATAGATTGCTTGTTTGTGGCGCCACGCACGCGATTAATGACAAGTAGATTCTCTTCGTACACCGACGTACGGATATCTGTTCGCTCGTACAGATATTCCCTATTGCAATTAGGCAAACTATTCGTTCCTTCATTTCTGTAATCATTTTTCAAGTGTTTCATTATTATATCCAAACACAGTTACTAATCAAAGTTTTCGTACAGTCGTGTAATAGTCTTGTCAGGATGAATAAAAAAGGCGTTACTCGTTATAGATGGTTAATAACTGTATATATATTTTAATAAATAAAAAGTAACGGAAGGCAATGTGCACGATGTGCACGTCGTAACACGTTTTTATCGAATGTCTTTTTCTCACCGTTATTGCCACCGACAACGTCGATGACAACTGCCGATCGTCGCTCGGAATTTCGGTTGGCCTCGATGCCCGCCACCGATCACGCCATAACACAACATATACAATGCACAACATACATTACATACAATGTAACGATCTAATGCGCAATACAGTATTCTTTTACAGTTGTGTGTTTTCAACAATTTTTTAGTGCATACTGAGTTATATGAACAGTTGAAATCATATAAACATATGAACAGTTAAAATCATATCAACATATAAACAGTTAAAATCAGATAAAATTAACCCTTTGCAATTGAAGATAATTTGACTGTTTACAAACAGCAACTTTAAAACTTGATGAATTTTCTTGAGGTTATTATTTCTTTACTAATAATTTCCACTATTGTTTCACTATGTTTATACATCATACGTGACATGTAATAGAATCAGTTAAAAAATGCTTATTTAAAATTATTGTATTAAATATAATGGTGACTGTGAGTCGCCTCTCAAACGCAAAGAGTGTTTCATTACTGTATGTATCTAAACATAGTTACTAATGAAAGTTTTCCTACAGTCGTGTGCTTTGAACAATTTTTTAGTGCATACTGAGTTATATGAACAGTTGAAATATAAACATATGAACAGTTAAAATCATGTCAAGATATAAACAGTTGAAATCATATCAACATATAAACAGTTGAAATCAGATAAAATTAAAGGAGTCTTGGAAATCTTTGAATACATGGCCATATATCCGGAGAGAGCTCGACTAGCGTAAAATTCATGGAGTTGACAGTCGGTTGAAAATAGAATACGACGCATATAACGATAGTATAGCGTGGGACAATACAACTTGTCAATAGAAGCCATCTGACTAAACAATGGAATTAAATTTGGAAGCTTAAGCGGTTCTATTTCGCACGTTAGACAGGTGAATTATAAAGTACAGGTAAGTTAAATAACGAGACTGAGAGAGTGAAACCGAAGATTTTGAGTCAGCGATGCGACCGTTGCGACTTTGAACAGCAGCCAGCTCTAACGATTCATCCGTCGAGAGAACGCATACACGAACCGTATGGCGTGAATATGTACGAGTTTACTCACCCACGCAGCCACGAGGAAGCGAAGAATTTATTTTTACCGCGGATCTTCCGCACCGCCGAAACGATTCGGCCGTTGAATCGATGAATCGCGGCCGCGAAACGGATCATAAAGGCGACATGCCGTAAATTATAGCTCGATGGTCCGACTAAATGGCACTAGCGTCGAGGCTCTATCGCGTACAAATACCCGAGTACGTTTACTCACGCGTTCGCGGTACAAATACAGATGATCAAACATTTATGATTGTTTCTCGCGTTCGCGACAGGCGCCACCGACCAACACACAGAAATCAAAAACAAGGGATCTTAGCGATTCCTGCGAATTCTTGATTATTTGTTGAGATGTTCCAGGAAAAGTTTCTTTCGAACGTTTCTTTTGTATCTCATAGTTATGCATTCTTTGGAATCTTGTAGAGAAGCTATATTCTTAAGGTAGATGGAGGATCCTCATGAACTATGTACCAGGATTATTTATGAAGTACCTTAACACTAAAACTACCAAACCAGTCAAATAACCATTTCACAAGATCCTTATTATAAATGACACAATTTGTTGAATTGATTCTTCTGATACCTGTATTGATCTTTATCAAGATAGAGAATTAGTGTGTGCACTAATTTATGTTTTGTCGTTTGTTCATTTATATTTTGACTTCATTTTTCATCTCAGATTAAGTACATATACGCCGGTAGGTTTAATGTTAACCCTACATTCTTCAAAGGTAGATCCGAAGGATCCTCAAGGAACTATTCCTATGAACCAGAATTATTTATGAAGTACCTTAACCTTACATTCTTAAAGTAGATCCGGAGGATCCTCAAGAAACTATATTCCTATGAACCAGGATTATTTATGAATTACCTTAACCCTATATTCTTCAAAGGTAGATCCGAAGGATCCTCAAGGAACTATTCCTATGAACCAGAATTATTTATGAAGTACCTTAACCTTACATTCTTAAAGTAGATCCGGAGGATCCTCAAGAAACTATATTCCTATGAACCAGAATTATTTATGAATTACCTTAACCCTATATTCTTCAAAGGTAGATCCGGAGGATCCTCAAGGAACTATTCCTATGAACCAGAATTATTTACGAAGTACCTTAACCTTACACCCACAAATCCACCTCTCTGTATTAATTGCTCGCAAAATTACAGTCGGTGAAAAAGCAAGGATGAGAGATCGATGATCGATCGATCGCAGCGATTGGCAAGCAGCTTAGGCACAAACTAGAAACGGAGTACGGCGCGATATTAATAACCAGGCGAGAAAGAAACGCGACGATTCCGTTCGCCATATGGTCAACCTAAATTCTAAGAGGCCGTCGTAACTAGCATAACCGGGATAACCTACATAAGGAGAGCAGAGATACCAGAGTTCGCGGGACTGGAGCGAGATCTCGGCGAAGCAGAGAACGGACGAACGAATCCGCACAGCGGCGACTACTGTAACACATGTACGGCGAACGTTCAGAATTCCTTCCACGTTCTTCGGCCGGGGCAACGCGAATAAAAAAACAAAAGTGAATGAAACGTCCGGCATAACGATGCTTGAGATCCCTTTACAAGCGCGCTGTGTGCGCTCGCTTATTCGAACGTCCATCAAAACGTATCTACATACTGATGCTATCGGAAACAGTGTGCACGCTCGACTCTTTCTAATTGCACTTTCAACGGGGCTAACATTGTACAGAGAAATTACAAAATTATCGAATTGTCGGATTGAAGGAGAGAATTATAGTCGAGGGAAGAATTGCAGTTTTATTGTGTCTGACTACCTTTGACCGCTTCCACTGTGGCGGGTCTATATCTTTCATGTTAGGTACCTATTCTTTGTTCTGCTTATGTTCAGGTACGAATTCCCACATTTAAAGGTTCGACAGAACTTGACACTTGATCTTCCTGGATAATAGACTCTGATATGAATAAACCATAGATTTGATGAACCACGCGTTGCACCGCTACGCACCGTAATCCCTACGCGCTGTAATTTCACGCGTGGAATCGCCACGCGACGTAATTCCATACTAGTACTCGAGCCTTACTCGAGTTATCTATGGTATCTAGATAATCTATTATCTAGGTATCTATCCTAGGTATCCACGCGCCGCAATCCCTACGCGCCGTAATTCCATGCGCTGTAATTCCACGCGTAGCACCGCCATGCGTCGCAATCCCTACGCGCCGTAATTCCACGCGTAGCACCGCCACGCGCTGTAATTCCACGCGTTGTACCTCCACGCACCGTAATTCCACGCGTGGAATCCCCACGCGCCGTAATTCCAAGCGTGGTATCGCCACGCGCCGTAATTCCACGCGTAGCACCGCCACGCGCCGTAATTCTACGCGTGGTATCGCCACGCGCCGTAATTCCACGCGTAGCACCGCCACGCGCCGTAATTCCAAGCGTGGTATCGCCACGCGCCGTAATTCCACGCGTTGTAATTCCACGCGTTGCACCGCCACGCGCCGTAATTTCACGCGTTGTAATTCCACGCGTTGCACCGCCACGCGCCATAATCCCTACGCGCCGTAATTCCACGCGCTGTAATTCCACGTATAGCACCGCCATGCGTGGTAATCCCTACGCGCCGTAATTCCACGCGTGGTATCGCCACGCGCCGTAATTCCACGCGTAGCACCGCCACGCGCCGTAATTCTACGCGTGGTATCGCCACGCGCCGTAATTCCACGCGTGGAATCGCCACGCGCCGTAATTCCACGCGTTGTAATTTCACGCGTTGCACCGCCACGCGGCGTAATTCCACGCGTTGTAATTCCACATTTTGCACCACCAGGCGCCGTAATTCCACGCGTTGTACCGCCATGCGCCGTAGTTGCTACGCGCCGTAAGTCCACGCCCTGTAATTTCTCGCGTTGCACCTCCACGCGTCATAATTCCATGTGGAGAAATTATATGGACATGAAAATTTGCAACCTGTCCTAAACTATCGACATCTCATGTGAACACCGTCCCGATTTCTAGTATTTCAATATAGCATCAAATGCAGATGTTACAGTCCATAAAAAAGGTAAGAAACCGAAAGGCTGTAGGTACAGTCGTTGTCCTCCGCAATGGACTGCGGTCGACACTTCTCCCATTAAATCACAAATGAATGACATTAGCGGTGCTATAATATCGTACCGCTATTACCGTGACGGGTATTACGTGTCACGAGGCGCGCTCGTTCCCTCTCGTCTCGTTTATTCTCTTCTCTTTCTCGCTTACGGTCCTTCTGTTACGTCCTCTCGTTCTAGTAACTCTCTCTTTCCATCTCCCTCCGCCAGTCTCTGGAAACACTCTTACCGTTGCACGCAAGGAATCAGGTCACTGCGCTGCAAGAAAGCAAAAGCAGCGCCGGTACGAGCCGCGGATTAGTATTATCGAATATATATACCTATATCCTCCGGAAAAGGACGATGACTAAGGCGTCGTTTCGACAGAACTTTCGCGTACACGTACGAGCGAGCATTGCCACGGTAACCGACCGCGGCATATGTTTCGCGAAAATCATTTTCTTTGTTTGCTTCTCTTCCTGGATAGCCTTTTTGTACTTGGAAACCGTTCGAGAACGTTTCGTACATAAATCAGGTATCGAGCTTCTGGTGTTGATCACTTCTGGTGCTAATTCCTCAGAAACTATCAACCCTTAGCAAACAATATCCTGTCTTGTACAGCAAGGTTTGCGTTCTAAAACTAATTTTCGAGGTACACATAAAAATTAACTCCTTGCACTTGAAGGTAATTTGACTGTTTGCAAACGGCAACTTTAAAATTTAGTTACATGAATTTTCTTGAGGTTATTATTTCTTTACTAATAATTTTTACTATTGTTTCACTATGTTTATACATCATACGTGACATGTAATGGAATCGATTAAAAAATGATTATTTAAAATTATTGTATTAAATATAATGGTGACTGTGAGTCGCCTCTCAAGCGCAAATAGTGTTTCATTACTGTATGTATCTAAACATAGTTACTAATCAAAGTTTTCCTACAGTCGTGTGCTTTGAACAATTTTTTAGTGCATACTGAGTTATATGAACAGTTGAATTCATATAAACATATGAACAGTTACAATCATATCAACATATAAACAGTTGAAATCAGATAAAATTAACCCTTTGCAATTGAAGATAATTTGACTGTTTACAAACAGCAACTTTAAAACTTGATGAATTTTCTTGAGGCTACTGTTTCTTTACTAATAATTTCCACTACTGTTTCACTATGTTTATACATCATAAGTGACATGTAATAAAATCAGTTAAAAAATGCTTATTGTATTAAGCAAAATGGTGACACCTCTCGAGCGCAAAGAGTTAATAGACATTAAAAATACATTATTGAAAGAAGAAACTGTAAGTGGCTTGGCAACAACTATTATTTCGGATGGAAACTTTGGCGCGCGACTTCCGAATCAGAAGGCCATAGACATCCATCATAGAAAAAGCGTCGTGTGTCAGAAAAAATATCTCCGGAAAGAAACTAGTTGAAAGTAGGGTCATCTAGCCAGGTCACAGTTCAATGTCGCCTGTGTCGTAAACGCGTAATCTGCAGTGATCTGACCGCGCATAATATGGTTCAATGGAGAAATCTAACCGTCGGTCGAGCATGTACTACGAGATTCTAAACATTTCGATTGATCGTACAGCTTAATTGATTGTACGATATCGAGCGATTGTCTCGCTCAAGATAATCTATAAATAAATTCATATGTGCGCTCGAAAAATTTCGTAGATCTTACACGAAATCTATTACCGGTGTATTCTTACGGGTGCTTGGTGTTATGAATGTATTCTATTTTATAATCGAGACAAATTCGAGGTGAAAGCTAATTTTATATGCTGCGGAGTTTGCCGATAGTTGGTCAAATGCATAGTCGACGTAAAGCGTTAATTAATTAGAGTAAATAATTACGTCCCTCCATTATCAACTTTCGTAGTTTTACGCGTCTCCGTAATCGACCCTCTCTTTTAATTAGACGCTCGAACGAGCATTTGTGAATTTTTCTGCGTTGCAACATTAGCTTCCAATAATTTGTATCGTCCTCCGAAGTTATACTCTGAGCATAAGCAATTAAAAATCGCTTTCTTCTTATTTGCGGTTTTAACCAGTGAGTCTATCCGTGGATATAACGCGTCACGACGAATAGAGATACAACACAGAATCGTGAAAATAGCAAGATTACTATACGACTCGAATTTCGATCGAGTGATTAATCGTGCAGTTCTTCTTTTGCAAGCCAGCGATTTCGCGAGGAACAAAAGTATTACCGAGTCGACAAATATTCAATGGAAATTCCGCGTTCGTAGTTCATCGAACTGTCGAATCGCAGAAGCTTGATTGCGCGATAACCGATTTGTATGACCTCGTTTTTTCGAATAAAAGAACGACTAAAGAGGATTAGGCGTGAGAAGATGCAAAACGTGTCTAATTTTCCGCGAGAAACGATCAGCCTCGAATGTGCTTCCTGGATTCCACGAGCAAGGACGAACGAATCGCATCCTTCGAGGTTTTTAGATCTTCCTCTTACGACTTGTTGCTCGTGTCACGCCGCTGGCATGAGATTCTTTGTTCCTGAAGCGACTGCATTTTTCTTTTTATTCGATCTTCAAGGAACTTCTTCTTCGCCGAACAGCTTTCCATTTCTTCCGAACAACCTGATCTTTTGCTACGATGAAAATTGATCTAAAACGCTGTTGAAGGTCTACTTTGGATTTTGACAGAGACTTCATGGTGTTCAAGTATCAAACATTATGCAAAATGTCGTCTTACAATAAAATTTCAACTTTCTCTATGGTTTATCAGGTACGTCACCAATTATAGCTACAATATTAAAACAGATAAAGAAAGTTGAAATGTTATGTAGTTTGGTATCAGACTATGCAAATGATTAGACTTGAACTCCAAATTAAAACGTATTAATTCGACTGAACTTAATAAGAGCTGTAAGTGTAAGTGACGCAAAGAGTGCGTCACGAGTCAAAGTAGTGTAAAGAGATAATAATAGTAGATCATTTTTTATGTAACTGATGGTAGAGAGAATGTATCAAAGGTTCGAATACAGCAAAAATTAAAAATTCGAAGAAAATTGTTCAGAGGTGTACGTGACGCAAAGAGTGCGTCACGAGTCAAAGTACTACAAGTTAATAGTAGATAATTTTTTATGCAGATGATGGTAGAGAGAATGTATCAAAGGTTCGAATACAGCAAAAATTAAAAATTCGAAGAAAATTGTTCACAGCTGTACATGACGCAAAGAGTGCGTCACGAGTCAAAGTACTACAAGTTAATAGTAGATAATTTTTTATGCAGATGATGGTAGAGAGAATGTATCAAAGGTTCGAATACAGCAAAAATTAAAAATTCGAAGAAAATTGTTCAGAGGTGTACATGACGCAAAGAGTGCGTCACGAGACAAAGTACTACAAAGAGTTAATAGTAGAAAATTTTTTAAGCAGCTGAAGGTAGAAACAATATATCAAAGGTTCGAATGCAACAAATATTAAAAATTCGAAGAAAATTGTTCAGAGGCGTACATGACGCAAAGAGTGCGTCACGATTCAAAGTACTACAAGTTAATAGTAGATAATTTTTTAAGCAGATGTTGGTAGAAAGAATGTATCAAAGGATCGAATACAGCAAAAATTAAAAATTCGAAGAAAATTGTTCAGAGGTGTACGTGACGCAAAGAGTGCGTCACGAGTCAAAGTACTATAAGTTAATAGTAGAAAATTTTTTAAGCAGCTGAAGGTAGAAAGAATATATCAAAGGTTCGAATGCAACAAATATTAAAAATTCGAAGAAAATTGTTCAGAGGTGTACGTGACGCAAGGAGTGCGTCACGAGTCAAAGCACTACAAGGAGTTAATAGTAGATTATTTTTTATGCAGCTGAAGGTAGAAAGAATTTATCTAAGTTTCGAAAACAGCAAAAATTAAAAATTCGAAGAAAATTGTTCAGAGGTATACGTGACGCAAAGAGTGCGTCACGAGTCAAACTACTACAAGGAGTTAATAGTAGATCATTTTCTATGCAGATGATGGTAGAAACAATATATCAAAGGTTCAAATGCAAGAAATATTAAAAATTCGAAGAAAATTGTTCAGAAGTGTACGAAATTGTTCAGAGGTGTACGTGACGCAAGGAGTGCGTCACGAGTCAAAGCACTACAAGGAGTTAATAGTAGATTATTTTTTATGCAGCTGAAGGTAGAAAGAATTTATCTAAGTTTCGAAAACAGCAAAAATTAAAAATTCGAAGAAAATTGTTCAGAGGTATACGTGACGCAAAGAGTGCGTCACGAGTCGAAGTACTACAAGGAGTTAATAGTAGATAATTTTTTATGCAGATGATGGTAGAAACAATATATCAAAGGTTCGAATATAGCAAAAATTATAAATTCGAAGAAAATTGTTCAGAGGTGTACGCGACGCAAAGAGTGCGTCACGAGTCAAACTACTACGAGTTAATAGTAGAAAATTTTTTAAGCAGCTGAAGGTAGAAACAATATATCAAAGGTTCGAATATAGTAAATCGAAACATTGATCACCGATGATTTTCTACGGCCATCAAGACTTCGAATCGATCGTTCGAAGTCGATGCGAGGGAAACGATAGCGATCGCTTCGAGAGGAAGATAGGATGATCCAGGCCACTGAAAAAGGAAAGTGACTGTGCTACCTCGTTCGGCCGGTAGGCAGGCAAAGCGTCATTATGCAATAATTATTATGATCGCGTTGTCGCCGCAGCCATCGTGGTGGTGCCTCTCTGGATACCTATCGTCGCAACTACGCGTGCAATTTGCTCGCGAGCAATGTTCCGAGAACGATTAAAATAAAAGCAGAAATTCCTGGATAAAGAAAGTATGCCGGACGTGGTCTTCCAAAATAAATACCTCCGATCTGTTCGTAATCGGTTCAGCAATTTACTGTACCTTCGCAATTTTGTAGATCTTCGTGAATTATGTGTAGACTTTTTTCTGGATTGTTTCTGAAAGAGCTTTTCGAAAGATCTAGGTGGTTGACACGTAGAGGCAAGGGTCAGAGATCACGGTGCATCTAAGCCACGTGTCTAGAGAAGTACCGTAGCTGTATGCAGGCACACACGCACAACACGCGTGTACCTTTTATACCGACCGCGTGTCTCTGAGAGAATACTAATGCACTCGTAGCGGCTTTGAGGCACTTCCGGTCACGTCGGCTTGAAAACCATCTAGAAGGAAGGAAAGGGTTTGATTTCGAAAGTGGGTCTCGAAATTTCACGCTACTTTTTCGGATTTTAGTGCATCTTTTTAATTCTTTATGATTTATGCATATAGTTACATATGCATATGTAGAATAATATTTAATAATTAGAAAGATTAATGAAATTTATTAACAAAGTATGACTGGTTATAATTAATTAAATGCAACACAAATGGAACTTCAGGAATTAACAAATTTTTCACGTCTCTATCTCACAATCTCTCACGAAGCAATACCCCCTTTGCTTTTTTCCGAAAATATTCGATCACACCAAAAAGACAGTCTTCTAGCAATCTTCATTACATGCAAACTTCAATCATACCATACGCAAGCTTCATTCATATTATGCACCCATGTCGATCATACAGTTACATAGTACATACACACACACATACCATACAATTACATAGTACATACACACACACATACCACACATATATTATACATATTGCTTATACACATAAACTTACATAGGTATGTATGTGACTGGTCGGAATTTTTATTAAACGAACAGT